CTATTGACTACTGCCTACGAACTGCGTATAATCAAATAGCCGCAATCGTCCTGTGAGATCCATAGGCGTCTGGATCTTACATTGCATAATCATACGGAATTTGTAAACCGCTTGAACTAGACATTACTCAAGATCGAACAATCATCTCATCCGTAAATAAAAGCTGTAAACACATTTGCCTTGTCCAGAATATTAGGGTTTGCGTAGTCAGTGAAACCAACTTGAGGCTATCAAAGTGTGACAATCAACAGCCAGAAGGCCGGCAAAACAGGCTGGAGAATTAGACCTTGACAATGTTTTGACAGCCTACAACGATTACACATTACAAACGTCCAGCAACATAAGTAAATTCGTTTTATCAGTTGGATCATTTCAAGTGTTAGGAACATTCCGTCAGCATACGTTTACAGTAAGTTACTTTGACGCGTATATTTATACCAACTTCACCGTTTACGACAGCACCTGTTTTATTCGTGTGTGACTCAGATTGCACACAATCACATGAGGTGCAGTATACGATGTCCGTCATTTTGATTGATTCATATGTAAGTATTGGTGATGTTCAACCTTGCTTACTGGGCTTTGGCTCATGAGCTTTGTTTCTGTTTTCCATCCACAGAAATTGTCGTGAACGCCTGCCTTCGGAGAATCACTGTCCCTTGGTGCTTCCATAGCGTGCATATTACAAAGGTTAACCTTAGTTTTGACCTGCAGCTCTCTCAATGCCCATATTGTGTGTTCCCTGTGGAATAACGCAGGACAATGATCAAACAAATTGACTCAGTTAACAAGCAAGCATTGGATAGACATTTTGTGAACAATTATGTGTGAAGACTCTGTAACCATTTGTCTAGGAATTTGCGGTTTTTTCAAATGTTCCTTGAGAGCTGACAGTTCCGCCACGCTGGTCCCGTAGGCAGTAGCCATCTAGCGGCCTCATAGTGGTTATATGTATAAACAGTCTTAAGATATCCTTTTTGCAATTGTTCCTTTATACTTGAATTTTGTGAACGAATACTTAATGTTTTCTTATACTAATTGTTTTCAAGTCTATCACTACTGTTTCCCACTTCTATTACTTAATTAAAGAACAACAAGGTATGGTTTTAACCAACTAAAAAAAGTAGAGAATCGACTCAGGAGTTTTCGGTAAACAACCGACTGGATCTAGGCGCGATCCTGCGCCACACAGTAGATTTCCACTTCATTTATTTGAGCTTCCTTTAACAATGCGCCATTGACTGATTGGAATACCCTGATCAGGTAGATTCTCAGGGTCACTGACACGTTGTTGACATTGTTTGTATGGATCCCCATGCCAAACTTTACTGATGTCAGTCGGAAATGATGCGAATTAGGAACAACGACAGACAACTCTGTCAGTCTAGAGTTGGTCGGTCTACGTAAAGCCACTTCTCACAAAAAATGCTAAACAAGCTGAAGACTGACAAGCTGACCTACGCTACTCAATTTATCTCTTCCCAAACTATAGTGCGCCGGACGTCCATTCTAAAGGTTTGAGGAACGGGAACACCCCTGGGTGCCGTATTTTAGATGACACTGTCTATCTCGATCATAAAGTCGGGAGCACATATCCTTACACTCACTGCATTGACGATAGCCTACCCGCTACATCTGAAACCTCCTACCTGTGTCCTTTTTAGTGACAGATTATCCTGACTGATCGTAACATCAGCGGTGTCGAAAACTGCCCTCATCGCACCATGCGTCAACGAAGCCTTGTTACAACTGTAAGATGAACAAGCCCTTACGTAAAATGATTGTTATCCTTGGTCCTCTCAAAAGATGCAGTCCTGCAGTGTGATCCCATAGTAAGTTGTTAAACCATAACAATGTGAGAAAATGACTGCGGTTATGTCAAACATGTAGCGAACAACTGGGTAGACGTTCCACCATGAAGGTGAAAGCACAGTGAATGTTGTTTGTAGTGCCATACACCCGAGGGTAGTTTTGGTTTTCAACTGAGCTCACAAGTTTTTTTAGCCTGCTGCCCAGTCTCCCATTTCGATAGGGCTCCCAGTCCGAATGAAATAAGGAACTAAACACATACAACAAAAACCCTTCTTCATAACTGCCGATTTAGACTGCTCTCTTCCAATACTTCAAATTCCTAGAGGTCATTCCCTCTGTTCTAGTGTAAGTCGAGCCCCACGCACTTTGATAT